AATATATGTTCCACATCATATGTCATTAGGAATGGCGAATTAAAATAATAACAAGATATCTTCATACCTATTATAATGTCCGAAATCCGAAACACAGACAACACCAAATGCTGATGAGAATGAGGAGCAATGGAAACTCTCACTTATTGCTGGTGGGAATGCAAAATGCTGCAGCCACTTTGGAAGACAGTTTGTCAATTTCTTACAAAACTAAACATATGCTTACCATATGATCCAGAAGTTGTGCTCCTTGTTATTTACCCAAATGAACTGAAAACTTATGTTCACACCAAAACCTGCACATGGGTGTTTATAGCAGCTTTTTTCATAATTGTCAAAACTTGGAAGCAACCAGGATGTTCTTCAGTAGGTGAATGGACAAACTGTGGTACATCCAGACACAAGAATATTATTCAGTGCTAAAAAAGAAAGAAGCCAATCTGCAAAGTTTATGTACTGTATGATTCCAACTATATGATATTCTTGAAAAGGCAAAATTAAAGAGACAAAAGATCCGTGGTTGCCAGGGACTGGTGGGGAAAGTGGGGAGGGATGAATAGATGAAGCACAGAGGATTTTTAGGGCAGTGAACATATTCTGTATAATACCATAAGGCTGGATACATGTCATTATACATTTGTTCAAACCCATAGAATGTACAACATCAAGAGTGAACCCTAATGTAAACTATGGATTTTGAGTGGTAATAATGTATCAATGTAGGTTCATGAATTACAACAAATGTACCAATGTGGTATGGGATATTGAAGTGGGAGAGGCTGTGCATGTCTTAGGAAAGAGATATATGGGAAATTTCTATACCTTCCACTCAATTTTTCTGTGAACATAAAACTGCTCTAAAAAATAAAGTTTATTAGAAGTAGAAAAACGGACAAAAATAATATTGATAAAATTATAAGCCACTTTCATTTGTGAATACAAATATAAAAATCTTTCTAAAAATTTTACCAAGTAAAATCCAATAGTGTATTACTATATCACGACCAATTGGGATTTGCCATAGTAAAACAAGAAAATTTTGATATTAGGAAATGTTATTAATGTAATTCCCTATGTTACCAGATTAACATAAAAAAGCTCATGATCTTTCAATAGAAGCTGAAAAAAGTGTTAGACAAAATTCAGTACCCATTTGTGATAAAAAAAAATCTTTTAAGCTAAAGATAGGAAGAAATATCTTTAATAAAGTATGAGTTATAGTCAAGAACTGACAGCAAGCTCCATACTTAATAGTAAAATATTACCATGACAATCGGAAATAAAACATAGTCACCATCGGCACTAATGTTTGTCAATGTATAAACAAGAAAAAGGAATAAAAGGAATAAATATAGGGAAAGGAGGCAATAAAACTGAAATTATTTCCAGGGAAATGATCATCTAACTCAAATTTTAGAAAATAATCAGTGTGAATTTTGTGATGGCTATGCATTACTAACTTATTTGCACAGTAAAACCAACTAGTGTATTTAAAAATGAATATTCAATGTATTAGGGTAAGAAACTTTAAAACTTTGGTTCTCTCTAAGCCTTTAAGTTCAACTTACAAATCTTGCTTTTCTTTTTGTAAGTATTGTTAAATATGAACAATCACCTTCACCTTTTTTAAAAAAATGTTTGAGTAACTTAAGTTTTATAGACTAAATTCTTTAAAAATTAGTTCTTTTTTTAAGATTTATTTATTTATTTTAGACAGAGTGTGAGAGAGAGAGCATGAGCAGGAGGGGCAGAGGAAGAGGGAGAGAGAGTCTCAAGCAGACTCTACCTCAAGTGCAGGGCCCAAGGCCGGGCTCCATCTCACGACTCTCATCAGGACCTAAGCAGAAAGCAAGAGTCTGATGCTTATCTGACTGTACCACCCAGGCGCCCCCACAATTAGTTCTATTTATACCTTACACTCTCTTAAAGGAAATAAAATGTACTTACAACTTTGATAAATTTATTTTTCTTCAAAACCTTAAACATGCCTGTTGTAATAAGCAAAATCTTTCTAAGTATGTATACAACTTTTGTAAATCAAATAAATTAAACCTGTAAGTGTGGCATAGCTCATATTATTTAACATTCCAATACTGTTTACAGATTTGGTAAATTCTCTTTCATATTTCAAAATAAATCCCTAATTCTTTTTTTTTTTTTTTGTAGGCCAGGGAGGGACAGAGGGAGAGGGAGAGAGAGAATCTAAAGCAGGCTCCACACCCAGCGGGGAGCCAGGCACAGGGCTTGATGTCACGACCCTGAGATCATGACCTGAGCCAAAATCAAGAGTCAGACGCTTAACTGACTGAGCTACCCAGGTACCCCAAAATAAATCCCTAATTCTAAAATCAGTTATTCAGCTACACATTTCAAATTGAAATCACAAGCCTAATCCATCAGAAACCTAATGGCCGTTCAAATCCAAATCTACCCAAATTATGCTAAATATAACACAAAATAATTTAAGTTTTATTTTCTTTAGAATATATTAAATTCTAAACTTCCATGAGATTGGAAACACACTGCCTCAAGGGGTCAGTTTTACCACTGCTAGCAAACTGGGTTTTATCATCTCAAGTAAACATAGGTTAAGAGAAAGGAACCTGGGATCTGTATATCCAGTGTGATTCTCCCCTTATCACCAATAGACACCTTGAGCGCCTTTCACTGTTGCTATGACAACAGGGACTCCAAGTATAAACCCTTCAAATGGGATTCCTTTCTCTTGGGTTCAAGTTATAAAATACCCAGTTCTTCCATCTGATTTAAGTCCACAACCTCCTACTGAGGTTGCTGATAACTGTCCACCTAAACTCTTTACTGCCTGATCGAATTCTGTATTTACATGTTCTTTCTCTCTGGTTAGATGTGAAATCTTACAGATACTTAAAGGACACATGAATATATTTCACACCTTTGGCTCTAAGGTCAAAATATCAGTCATACTAACAAGAGTTTTCAGAGAGGAGTGAAGAGAATTAACTAAAGGAATTTTTAATAAAATGGCTGGATATAAGGTATTTGTAGTATCTCTACACCAGCAATTAGGAAATGTAATAGCAAAAGCAACAAAAACTATAAAATATCAGGAATAAATCTATCAAGAAATGTGTAAAAACTACGTAATACTTTAAAACCTTATTCAAGAACATAAAAGAAGACCTCAATAAATGAAGATGGAAGTTATGTTTCTGGATGAGGAGGTTTAACACTGTAAGGCTACCACATCAGTTGCAAATTAATAAATTCAAATTTTTATGAAATTTGAAAAGTGATTCTCAAACATACCAGATTTTTAAAAATGAATGAGGAAAAATGAGGTGGAACTTGACTTATCTGGTATCAAGTTATTCTATAAAGCTATAGTAATTAAAGTAAAATACTATTAACTCCTATATAAAGAGAACAATTGAACAGAATAGAAAATCTCCAAACAGATGAAGAAATGAATTGGAATTTAGTTTATAATAAAAATGGCATTTTGGGGCACCTGGGTGGCTCAGTTATTTAAGCATCTGCCTTCGGCTCAGGTCATGATCCCAGGGTCTGGGATCAAGTCCCGCATCAGGCTCCTCGCTCGGTGGGGAGTCTGCTTCTCCCTCTGCCTCTCTCCCCATCTTGTGCTCTCTCTCTCTCTCTGACTCTCTCTCTCTCTCCCTCAAATAAATCAAATCTTTTAAAAAATGGTATTTTTAACCAAAGAAGAAAGAATGAAATGGTGTTGGAACACTTTGGAAAAATAAATATATATATCTATTCACACTACAATAACTCCAAATGAATTAAAAACATCTTGAAAAAACAAAATTGCAAGAGTATTAGAAGGAAAGATGGAGAAATATTTCACTGGGGTAAGGTCTTCCTAAGCAACACACAAAACCTAGAATCCACAAAGGAAAAAATACTGCTTTTTCTCCCATAAAAATATAAAGTTTTCCTCAAAGGCACCATTTAAAAAGTTAAATTCAAACACAAATAATAGACTGAGATAAAAATATTTGTCAAACATGTAATTAACAATTAGTATCCACAAAATAAAAACGTACCTCACAAGTACAAAGAAAGATGAATAACCCAGTTGAAAAATAGGGAAGGAATGTGAATAGGTCATTAACAGCAGAAAAGTACAAATGGTCCACAAACATAAAAAGTTGGGGAGGGGCGCCTGGGTGGCTCAGTCGTTAAGCGTCTGCCTTTGGCTCAGGTCAGGATCCCAGGGTCCTGGGATCGAGCCCCGCATTGGGCTCCCTGCTCGGCGGGAAGCCTGCTTCTCCCTCTCCCACTCTCTCTGCTTGTGTTCCTGCTCTCGCTGCGTCTCTCTCTGTCAAATAAATAAATAAAATCTTAAAAAAAAAAAAAAAGTTGGGGAGCCTTGCTCCTTATGAAGGAAATGCAAATAGAAACAACACTGTGATGTCATTTTTTACTCAGTGGATTGGAAAAAAATTTAACTTGATAATATCCAACATCAGCAAGTGTGGGGGGGAAGTAAATGCCATGAGACAGTCCTGGTAGAAATGTAAATTGATATCTTTCGGGCAGTATCTGTCTACATGAATGGATCTTTGACCCAACAAGGATTCTACGTTGAAGAAATATTTGTGCCTGCAGAGATGTTAGAAAAAATTCCTCTTTATACAATTTAAAGATCCATCAGTAGAAATGTGGTTGGATAAATTATGTTATATCAGTATTATGTGCACCTATTAAAAAGGAAAACACGTTCAGTCAAAACAAGTATATCGAATAACACATGTATTGTGACTCCATTAAAAAAAGCAAATGAACACCAAAATGTATATGGTTACATGTCCCTGTATTTATGGCAATGTATAGAGAAAGGACTAGAAATTTACAGACCAAATTGCTGACTTTGGATCGTCTTTTGGGAGGGGAGTTGGAATATTGGAGAAGAGGGTTGTTTTTATAAGTATCTGACTTCTTTAATTCAAAACCTTTTCAGCTGTCATAGCTTTTGGCTAAATAATCAATAAAATTACCTCCTTGTTTCTCTAGGATGTTTTCCTGGATTTATCTCAGAGCTCCATTAGCAGATGCTACAGACAAGTGGGATCTGAAAGGATGCAGCATTCGGAATGGTCTCCCCATTGTGGACAGGTTAGCTTTGGGAATTGTTGGGGCGTGGTTTATTGATTCATATATTCGTCATTCTTTCATTCTGTAAATAGCATGCTGATGAAGCTAGACTCACAGAGAGTTAACATTTATTTAGCAGAGCTAGCCCCACTTTCAAATTCTGGATTAAAATCTTGGCTGTGCTGGTTCACCGATCACTCTGGCGGAGGGGGAAAAATATCCTGCAGTCACTTGTGTCATAATCATGGCCTCAATTGAGTAATTAATTGTCCAGTCCTATGTAGTAATCAAAGTCTGAATTTGTGTCAGGTTAAATCACCTTTCTTCCCCTGGCTGAGTCGTGCTTCTGCTTGGCCCTTCAGAGTGGAAGAGGGATTGCTGTCCATTTCTTACCAGCCTCTCATTTCTCCTCCTCTCCCCCCTGACTATGCAGGGGACCCAGCGGCGGGGAAGACGGGGGACTTGACAGGTTCTCACTTGACCGTTGCTGTCATAAGCTGACTCTGCCATCTCTGGACCTTATAAGTTCTTCTGTGGGTTCCTCAGAGGCTCCCCTGCAGGGCCTCTTCAAGTTCAACTCCTTTGAAGTGGGCAGTGTCCCTTCTTTGGCTGGTCACTCTGCAGCCTCACCGATGGCTCGGCTTCCGCATTCTTCCACTTTCATCTGATCTCTGGCAGGGCTCCATTTTTAAGGACATTGGGACAGCATTCTTCTGTAGATTTCACACATTTGGGGGGCTCTCACGGCACTGGCTTGCAGTTATTACTACTTGGAAAACCACCCATCAGGCTCTCCAGATGCTCCCTTTGGAGCCCCGCTCACTAGAACTGGGATAAGGAGCAGGTACTTCTCTCTCTCTCCCCCCTAGTGGCAGGAGGGCTGAGCAGTGGGAGCCACAGTCAGAAGTGGACCGCAGGAAATCCTCTTCTCCAGAGCCCCACTTTAGGCACTTTCAAGGGATGGATCCGAAAGCCCAGTGAATCAGAACCTCACGGAGACTTTGTCTCTGCCCTTTCAAGCCCGCATTATGGGTGAACACATCCACAGTTGAGAAATCAGTTCTTAACATTTTCTTTAAGCGTTTACATCTTGGTTAGCACCTTCTGCTGGATTTCCTTTCTGATTCATCTTGGTGCCTCAGTAGAAAATTTCAAATTAACATCCTATTTCCATTTGTTTGCTTGTCTATTGTAGCAAACAATTATTGAGTACCTTTGGTATGCCAGCTACAGCTACAGTGATGAATCATTTGAGAGCTTTAATTCCTATGAACAAGAGAGGAAAACAAAAAAGAATAGTTTTCTCTTCAGTCTGTGTTTAGGAACCCAAGTTCAGAAATGCCATTTGTTCTCCTTACCCTCACTGGTGCTTTGTCTTGTTTTCTTGGAGCAGAAGCTCTTGTACCACAAAATGTATTTGGGTTAGCCTTGATCAAATCATTTACTTCTTGGGCGCCTGGGTGGCTCAGTTGGTTAAGCGACTGCTTTCGGCTCAGGTCATGATCCTGGAGTCCCTGGATCGAGTCCCACATCGGGCTCCCTGCTCTGCAGGGAGCCTGCTTCTCCCTCTGACCCTCCCCCCTCTCATGTGCTCTCTCTCTCTCTCTCATTCTCTCTGTCTCAAATAAATAAGTAAAATCTTTAAAAAAACAAAACAAAACAAAAACATTTACTTCTGGACAAAGAAAGAAATGAAGAACTAGCATCTTCTTTGTAACACACATTGAGCTTTGGAATCATGAATAAAATTGATAGTAACTGAGTTTTGGAGTAAGATATACATGGATTTCAATCCTGGTTTCACTATAGTGCAAGGGTCTTAATCTTTCTAAGTTTTATCAGTAGTGTGGTGTGATGGTTAATTTTATGTATCAGTCTGACTAGGCCATAGCAGGCCTAGACATTTGGTCAGATATTACTCTGAGTGTGTCTGTGAGGATATTTCTGCATGAGATTAATATTTGAATTGATAAACTGAGTAAAGCAGATTGCCCTTCTTTCCACATGTTAATAATAATGGCAACAGAACCACTACCCAGTCTGCATCGGTCACCGTGCCAGACACTGAGAGTGATGAACACTGATAAGCCCCCTTCCCTTGTGAGTTTGTGAGTTTACATTCAGGTGGTAGGGTGAGGGGGACAGAGAAAAACAAAGAAAAACAAAACACAACCAACAACCAGAGAGTAAATAACTGAATAGAAAACTTACAAACTGCAGATGTGGCAGGAAGGAAATAAAAAGGTGATGAGAGAGAATAATGGGGTGTGGAGGGGACTTTAATAGGTAGTAAGGAAGGATACAAAGGGGAGGTGACATTTAACCTGAAACTGTGAGGATGGGAAGCAGCCATCCACTCACAGGATGAGGAGGAACATTCCAGACAGAAGAACAGAGTCCCGGAGGCAGAAAGGCATTGGCCCATTCAGGGAACTGAGAGAAAACGGGTGAGTGTGGGACAGAGTAGGGGAGGGAGAGAGTGCTACTAGGTAAGGTAATAGAGAAATGGGGAGGAGTCAAGCCTTGCAGGGCCATGGAAACCATAGTACAGAGTTTGGATTTTATCCTAGGTGTTATGAAACCAAAACATATCTTAGGATGGAGAGTAACATGAGCCAAATTCCATTTTAAGAAGATCTAGCTTTCTTGCTGTGACAGAGAGAATGGGTTAGAGGGGGACCAGAGTAAAGGCAGGTAGAAAGTTTGCATTGGTGTTGCTTGAACAAGCAAGATTTGATGGTGGTCCCAGTTATGGTGATGGTGAGGGAAATGTGGAGGAAGTAGCAAATTTATATTATAACTCAGAGATAGAATTAATAGGATTTGCTAATGGATTAGATGTGAGCTGAGGAAGCTGGGACAAGGGAAGGATCGTCTTGATTTCCAGGTTTAGCAAATGAGTGGATGATAATGCCATTGTCTCAGGGGAGCAATTCTGAAGACATGGTAGGAGGGCAGAATTAGGGAGGGAAGAGGAGTTTTGTGTTGGGTGTATCAAGTGTGATATTTCTGTAGAGATGTAAATAAGGCTACTAAATATGTTGGCATGTGCCAGTGGTTCTCAAACTTCAGGGAGCGTCAGAAACACCTGCAGGGCTTGATAAAAGATTGCTGGGCCCACCTCCAGAGTTTCTGGTTGAGAAGGTTTGGGTGGGGCCTGTGAATTTGCATTTCTAACAAGTTCCCAGGTGATGCTGTTCCTGCTGGTCCAGGGTTTCTACTTGAAGAATCACTGGTCTAGACAGAGGATAATTCTAGGAGTCTGGAAGTCATCAGCCTGAAGATAACATTTAAATCCATGGGACTAGATGAGATTGCCTAATGAGGTTGTGGGGAGAAAGGAGAGAAGAAGGTCCCGGATTAAGTTTTGAGAGGGATTAGAGAAGAAAAACCCAATAAAGGCAGGATCAGAGAAGAAGGAAAATGAAGAAAGCGTGGAGTTTCAGAAGCCAGAGGGGTTGAAGATTTCGGGTCCAGATTGCCTGAACATGACAGATACTGTTGAGAAGCAGAATAAGAAGGGGGCAGTGAAGTGCCCATCATTTTACCAATATTAGAACTTCTGTGAAGGGCAAGTACTTTACAAACAGTATCTCTCTGAATCCTTCACAAATCCCATGAAAGGAGTACAGTTAGCTGAATTTTATAGTTAAGGGAAGTGAGGCTCAGAGATGATACAGTTTGTTAGGGCACCAAAGGGTCTAAAGCCCACGTTTCTTCTGCTAGCATCCTAGGGAAGGCGATGCTCACTGCATCCTCTACTTGTGGCTAAAATCTACAAGGCAAGCCAACCTTTGGCAAAACCTTGAAGGAGACATGCTGCTCACTCCTCCCCAAGGCATTCACTACCCCCTGGCTGCTTCCAGACAGTTGCAACAGCATGCTCACCCGCCGTCCTGGTTGACTCCCTGTGCCTTCCATACTCAAGACCCACCTGGACTTCAGTCCTTGGCAATAGCATAAACCTGTCTTATTACCAAATGATAATGGATCAAAGTGGGTGCTAGTTGGTGGTGTGCAGTAAAGACTTCACAATCACCTTTCTCAAAGCGAGGGGAGGCCCTGATTTGCAGCATTTGGTGATTTCAAGGCACCACGGGCTGATTTCAGGCTCCAGTGTGATGGGAATGTGGAGTTGGGAAGAGATGCACATAGTTGGCTCTCTCAGGCCCCTGTGAGCTGGATCCAGCACACTGCTGGAATGATTTAACATGTTGATTTTCATGTCACATATTTCCATTCTACACACAGGCTTCTGGAGACAATGTCTTAACCACAAGTTGTGGGAACTCCAGGCCATCTGCCCAGCCACGGGGGGAGATGTGCAGAATAGGGAGGCCAGTGTGCAGCCTCTAAGCCATAACTCGGAGGCAGTCACCTGCTTCCTCAATGTCCGATCTCACCCAGGAGCAGAGGGAATGTCGGTTTAAAAACTGGCATCCATATCCCTCTTTGGTTTCCAGTGTTCAAAAATGTTCTTTTATGAGGATTACAGGCTTGTTCTTCTTTGGTGTCAGCAGGCGTTTATGATGGCTGTAGCAGGAATGAGAATTTGGGTCTGGAATAAGCCTCGCTGTTTCTTGCCAGGCTGCAAAGGTTTATGGTGGAGACCAGACACATGTCTTGCTCACGCCCATATGCTACTCTGTATCCGGAATCAGAGAGGAGGCCACATCCTCACACAGGCAGGAATGGCAGCCGAGGGCTCAGTCCTGAGACACAAGGGAATTTTAACTTCCTCATGTAACTTCCATTTGCTCTTAGCCTTTTATTCCTAAAAGCACAGGTCTCAGAAGTGGTCTCTGGGGAGTTACGTGATGTGAGATTATGGTGGATAGTGTTGTAATGTTACCTCACACCACTTAAGGGGAGGGAATCTAGTCGGTGGGGAACGGGGACAAGTGGGAGGAAGCAGGGGCCTTAATGGGAAGAGGACAGGAGCATCGAGAGCTGGAACTTGGCACTACTGATGTGGGAGGGGGAGAACGGGGCTGTGAGGTGGGCTGAAAGAGGTGTTTCTTTGCAATCCGATTTTATGACTGTGTGTTTTGCAAGTGGATACAGTTAGCTCAGGAACAACCTCTTCTAGGCTCAGGGTCGTTTCTCCATATTGGCGAATAGAGATGTCTGAGAGAGTTACACTTCACTGCCTTTTAGCGAGCTGATCACATAGTCAGGTTTTACCCCGAAAGGAAGCTGGAAGGACTGTGGTATTGGCCAAAAGTCTTCTAGAAAGCACTTAAGCATAGGCTATGGTTGATTTTTACACCAGCTACCCAAATTCTTATTTCTGGGACCAACTGTCTTGTTGTGTATAAATTACTCATAGGATGATACTTGAGAGTCACATACTCTCATCCAGTGCTCTAGGTGCAAATTTGCTCACACATGCATGCATGCAAATGTGTCAAAATAACACTAATATTTATAATAATACTTTGCAATTCTACACTGCCTTTCATCTGTAGATCTCAGGGTACTTTGCAAGCATTCATTAATTCTCCCAACACTCCTCTGAGGGAGGTAAATATTATTATCCTCCTCTGTACAGATGAAGTAATTGAGGCAGATAAGTGATTTGCCTCAGGCCAGTTAGGGAGTGTGGGTGGAGGGCTGAGATTAAGAGCTCAGAGTTCCTAGAGATGTCCACTAGGAAAGAAGCCCAGCAGCAGTCAAAACACAGAGGGCACCGTGGGCTGTTGGAGGGGGTCACTTTGTCCTGTGAAATCCATCGCCATGGTAGTGAAAGCTGCTTATTAAACATTGACTGTGGTATTGAGTGCTTTACATATGTTATTTCCTGTCCTCATATTAAAACTAGAATTATCCCCATGGCACAGATGAGGAACTGAAATTTACAGTGGTGAAGTATCTTGTTCAAGATCACATAGCTAATAAGTGCCTGGGCTGGAATTCAAACCTTGATCTGTTTGCCTCCCAAGCCCAGGTTCTGTACCCCCAGCGCATACCTCATGTTCATTTGAAAATTTCAGGGATGCACCTTTCTAACTTTTCAAGTCTGTTCCTTTAGTCTTCAAGCCTTTATTTCTCCTGTCTACCACCAATTTCTTTGCATTTGACTAAGTTTTGAGACTAATGCTTATAGCGTGTCTGATCTGGACAGACGAGTTCTAAGCCCAGGAAAGGAAAGCCTCTGAGGTAAGAGGTTTACATAAGTCAGAAGAGAAAACATTATTTATAATTACTTTTTGCTTTATTTTGTGTTATTTCTGGTGAATGTATCAGTTTGGCATCTCTTGACAGAA